TTTTCTTCCGGTACCAGGAATTGAACTCACGACCTTGCGCTTGCCAGGCAAGCGCTTTGCTGCTGAGCTAAATCCCCAGCCCCTTTTTTTGGTCTTTTTGAGACAGGGTCTCTCTATATAGTTCAGGCTGGCTTTGAGCTCACTTTGTAGCCCAGGCTGGCCTCAAACTTGCAGCAATCCTCCTGCAAACAAACCCACAGCAATCTTCCTGCCTCAGCCTCCCAAGTGCTGGGATTACAGGGGTGTGTCACCATGCCCGGCTTGTTCCTGAGCATATTAAACTTAATCACTTGCTTAAGGTGATAGCTACTCTGTTTCTTCACTGTAAAGTTAATGTCCTCTTTCCATATTCTATTACTTGAAAGTGAGTCCATTCTATATACAAGGGAGAGAGGAAGGGGTGGTATCTCTGCATATAATATTTGGAGATCTTAAATAAGACAGGTTTGTGATTTTATTTCATTTTTTGTGTTGCTGGGAAATCAAACCCATGGACTTATGCATGCTAGGCAAGCGCTGTAACACTAAACTAAACCACCAGCCCAGATTTATTTGTTAAATAAATATGATAAATATATAAATATATTCTAAATATATACGTTTGGGTTATATATGTTATATGTTTGGGCTATAACTCAGTAAATTAGTTACGTTACATTATTCACTTAACTTCCCAAATTGGTCCGGCTTTGACCATCCTGGGCTCCGGTGTCCTTTAACTTACCTCCCCTCCCCTCCCCTCCCCTCCCTTCCCCATTCTCCCCTCCCCCTCACACGGGGAATGAACTCAGGGTCTTGCACTTGCCAGGCCACAGCTATGCTGCTCAGCTACATCCCAGGCCCTGTTTTGTTTTGTTTTGCTTTGTTTTCCTCCCCATAGCTGTACCTCAATTCATGAACTTAATTCTCTCCACAATTCTGGTCACAAACCAAACCGGTCACAAACCACATCAAATTTCCCCATACGATCAACATTAAATCTAACCACTGCATTTGATTTGGTTTGTGTCCAATTCGGTTTGTGACCAGGATCGTGGAAAGAATTAAGTTTGTAAACCAAGGTACTACTGTATTTTTACTTTTTTTGGTACTCGGAATTGAACTCAACCTTGCGCTTGCCAGGCAGACTCACAACCTTGCGCTTGCCAGGCAGGCATGTGCTGCTGAGCTGTATATCCTCGGCCCTGTGTTTTTACTTTTTAGCACCACTTTAATTTCAGTGCTGAGGTGCTGCAGACAGGGAAAAACCAAACACACCCCACAGCCCGAAGACTGGCCTCACGGAGTGAGTGGGTGGTTGGAAAGGGATGTGGAGAGAGCAGTCCAGGCTCCGAGGTCAAAGTCAGACATTCAGGAGACAGAAGAGGGTGTTGTTGAAGGGCTCTTAACTCCCCAAGGCGGGAGATGTGTGTGGTGCATTCTTTGTCCCCTGCCCTGGGCCCAGGATGGTGATCCATGGAGTCAAACATTCTGCCACCTTTCCCAGGTTCTCCAACTCCGTGGCCTACTACGGCCTGGCCATGGACCTGCAGAAGTTTGGGCTCAGCGTCTACTTGGTACAGGCTCTGTTCGGGGTCATCGACATCCCAGCCATGCTGGCGGCCACCGCCACCATGATTTATGTGGGCCGTCGGGCCACAGTGGCCTCCTTCCTCATCCTGGCCGGGCTCATGGTCATTGCCAACATGTTTGTGCCTGAAGGTAAGTCACCACCTCTGCCCCTACCGCCCAGCAGGGCACCCGGTCTCAGCATCCAGGAGGACGGGGACGCCCCGGTGCCAGGAGGGCAGCAAGCACCACAGGGTGCTCTCTAGATCTGGAGGGAAAGTGGCTGCAGAGTAATAGAGTTTTTAGGAAGCCCTAAGTGCCTTATGCCAATGGAGGAGCTATGGAGGACGCGGGTCGTTGTGGAGATTACACAGATGCACCTAGAGCCACTGGAGGGCCCGCGTGCTGGCTTGTGTACTGCCACTAACGCCAGGTGGCACGTGCAAGGGTTGAGAAGTCAGCGTTCAGACCTCAGCCAGGCTGGCCTTGGAGCAGTGGCTTGCAGACCTGGCTGAAATTACCCTCACCCGGAGCCTTCTGCAAGCTTGCAGTGCCCAGGGCCTCCTTGCTAGAGCAATGGGGTTCTCCAGGGACAGCGCTGATACTCAGTATTTCATAAACTGCCCAGTGAGGCCTCCAAGAAGCCAGGAGTGACTATCAGGGACCTAGCACACGCGCTAAACCATGCACCATGTGTGACCCCTGCTTTACCACCAGGGCCTCAGGCAGGTTGTCTAACATCCCTGTGAAATAAATGTTATTATTGGTATTTCAACATACTTTCCTTTTTTTTTTTTTTTTTGGCTTTTTAATTTTTTGGTGCTAAGGACTGAACCAAGGGCCTCCCTTTTGCTAGATAAGTGTTCTATACTGAGCTACTCTCCCCCATTTAAAGACAGGGTTTAGCTTTGTAGTTCAGGCTGGCCTCAAACCCACAGCAATTTTCCTGCCTCAGCCTCCTGAGTGCTGGGATTACAGGTGTGTGCCTCCAAAATGTGCCTGGCTTGACATATTTTCTTCTAACTCTTTTTCTATTTATAGATTTTGTTTTTGACATAATTGAGAGCATTTTATATATATGTATATATAAATGCATACAATAATGTAAGTAGGACTAGCTATATGTACTTATGTGCATAGGTACATATGTATACACACATAAATCCACTTTTATTACATGTTATAAATGTACTTTTCCATACTGATATAAACAAATACTTAATGGGCCTGATTTTATTACTTTGCAATACGTCATTGAAATTGGTGGTTTTTTTTTTAACTCTGCCCACACATTAAAATCTCCTGGGGACCTTTAAAAAAATACCAGGATTTGAAGCCAAGCATAGTAGCACATCCCTGTGAACCCCGTATGCATTTGGGAGACTGAGGCAGGAGGTTTATGAGTTCAAGGCCAGTCTGAGCTACATAGCAAGGCCCTATCTCAAAACATGAAACAATAAAATATGAAAAGTACTCAGAGTCAAGTCCTTTCCTAAGAGGCTTTGATGGAATGGATACAGGGTAAGGCCTACTATGGGTGTTTTATGACCTCTCCCAGCCTGATTCCAAGGTGCGGCTGTGCTGCCTCTGCTCTGGAGGAGGAACCATCGTTCCGTCAACACTGAGCCCTGTAGGGGACGTCTGACTTGGGGTTTTCCAAACAACAGCAATGCACAGTGAAGGTTAAAGCATACACTGACTGAGCAGGAAGCACAGCCATGGCCACCCGACCGAAACCCCAGGATGCAGGGGCTGGCTTTATTCTCATTTGACGGATGAGGACTGGCAGACTCAGAAATGCTCCAGGTGACAAGCCACCCCACTGGCTCTAGCTGGTTTTTTTTTTTTTTTTTTTCATTTTAAAGAGTAAAAGAAGGATAACAGTAACAGGGGGGCTTACCAAATTACAGACAAAGTGGCAGGAAGTTATCAATGGTTGTTATTTTAGCTATTGGTATCTTCAAGATAGTTTCTCAGGAAAACAAACAGACAAATAATAGTGATTTACAGACAAAACTGGTAGGAAATTATCAATGGTTGTTGTACTATACTTTGGTATCTTCAAAGTGGTTTCTAGAGAAAACAAATAGAGCTATACATGAGTGACCAGTTAAATAATCATTGACTATTCTCAATGGTTGTTGTTGGAAACACATAGTAATAAACATACATCCATTTATAAAATAGCATAGGAACAATACAAACATTACAGAGTTATGGAC